GGTTCCTGGCATCACACACTTTTTCAAACCCATAGAAGATACACCATCAAGAGAGAATCCTAAAGTAAACTATGGATGTTGGGTGGCAATGTGTCAGTGAAGGTTCACCAATTATAATGAGTGTGCTCTCTCCTCTTGCTGGCCCAGAGAATTCAGGTATCAAGCACAGATCAATGTGCTTAGGGAAGAGAGCCCCTGACCTTGGGGGTGAGCAGACCAACCACTTCCAGCACAGGACATAGAAGGGAAGTCGCCAGGGAGGAGGCATGGGCGGAGCAATGCCCTGCCGGTGCCAGCCTCAGCCTGCTGCCTCACAACAGAGCCACATGAGGTCGGATGCTCTGACTGGTTGCGGCCGACCTATGGCCATGAGGGAAGGACCCGGAGAACCTCAGGGGCACCTGCCCAGAGCCCTGCACCACTGAGCTGCAGGGCCAGCTGCCTGCCTCTGACTTCCCAACAGCCAAGAAAAAACAAGCCCGTCTAATCGAAACCTGTTACTTTCTACCTAAAATATTGGAATGGATAAAAATGGTTAGAGGGCTGGGGCCGCAGAACCCGGGGTATTATATTACACTTGTTCACATGATGCTCCGAAGTGTAAATCTACGTGCTTTCACTCAAAACACTCTAGGACCCCCTCAGAGGACGCCTCATAAAGAGATTTCTAATAAATTCAAACTAAATAAAGGGCTTAGTTTGGTTTTCCTGACATGATTAGGTTAAGGAGAGAAAAGGAATAGGGCTTATTCCCTCCCATGAAGCCAATAGCAAGAGTAAGATCTACGTGTGGTGAAACACCTAGAAAGCTCATGGATACAGTCTTGAACTTAAATGATAGCAAGAAACCTCAGTGGGACACAGGGACTTTCAGGCTACCAGGATTAGCAGATGACATGCCATATCTAAACTGAGCCTGGGTCTTAGAAAAGGTGGCAACAAGAGAGACATTCCAAATAACAATGGAGCTCATTGGAAAGCAGCCTCCACTTTTGACCTTGGACCTTCAGGCCTTCCAAGTCAGGGATCCTCTCCTTATTCCTCTAGTCAGTTTGGGATCTAAAGTATCTATCTCCCAAAGTTGCTGTAAGGATAAGAAACAATGTATAAACAGCTCCTAGCACTGAGCTTTGCACAGTAGGTCCATAGTGAATAGCAGCTGTCAGCGCCATTGGGTTCAGCATCGAGCTCTCCCACTTAAAGGTACAAGAGGGGGAAACAGCCTGGCCAAAGGGACTATACACTTAGAGTCACGGTCAGAAGTCCTCTGGTCAAATATGGAGTTAGAATCTACATTAGGGCTGGATTGCTCTGTCCTCACATCTGGAGAGGTCTGGAGAAAAGCACCAAACAGGATCAGACTGAAATCAGGCACAGCCACAAGCCAGCATCTACATACACCTGAAGGTTGCTGGCAACACAGCTCATTTACCGACAGCAGGCCATCCGAAGGGCCCATGTGGCCGTGATCAGTCTAGAAAGTCCTGAATTCATCAAACACTTAACTGTAAATCTGCTCATGCTTTCAATATACCTGTTATGGCTCCTCACTCCTATGTGTGAAGTCCTCACCCTTCTGCCTGGCAAAGGGCCCCCTGCTCTCCAGCTGTCTCTCGCCCCTCTCCCCACCTCCAACGCCAGTGCTCCAGCTGCACACAGCTACGGTCGCCGTGAAGAGCCGTTCGTATTGAGGCCGGATAGCAAGAAGCTAGGAAAATTCCTTGGCATGTGGAATAGGGAAACTGAGACTGGTAGCTGAACACAATGGCTGAGCAGTTTACAACCAGGTGCAGATGGCTGCCAAGGCAGAAGGCAACACTGGGAAAACAAGGACCTCACCCCCAGGGAAACCCCTCCTCCCCTGGCCTTTCCTCACTGGAGAGAACACCTAGACCTCAGTTGTATTTCAGCTTCAGGCCCAGAAGAGCAGCAAAACCAGGTGGCCCACGCCAGGACCAATTGCAGTGACTAAAGACTCCCCTGTCCTGTGACTGACCAGTGAGTAGAGACCACGGCCCTGCAAGGGCCCACCTGGAGAACTGAGGCATATTCTACTGAAACTCTCCCCTGGGACCTCCTCTAAGACTCCCAGATGCAAAAGAGAGAAAGCCTCAAGACAGAGGACCTGGCTCATGCTCTCCCTCTGGGGAGCAGCCCTTGCCAGCCACTTCCTTTCCTTTTTCTACAAGCACATGTCTCCTAAACTCTAAGGCTACGGGCAGCTGGCAGCTTGTACCAGGCTAATCCCCTGAACCTGTCCCTAAAGCCCCCTTTTCTGTGACTTCCTAGTGAGCTAAGGCAGCCCAGCCTAGGTTCTGTTGCTTCTATGCTAAGCCCATCCTTGTTTTACTGTCCCCACCTTTAATAAATATACTCTCATAGTCATCCGCACCTGTTGTTGTGAGACCTTTCCTCCAGGAAGCCAAGAACCCACGCCCTACAGCTGGCCCTCGGCAGACCCACTCAGGGCCAGGCCCCTGTCTGGTAGCAGTGCCATTTTTTTTTTCTGCCCCTCAGCCTGCAGTGTCCTCCCCTGCCTTGTAGACTCAAACACATCACCTCTCAAAATTCGGTCTAGCTCACCTTTGTCAGCCTTTCCCTAGCCACTTTCCAGACAGAAACAACCACTCTGTTTTGGTTACCCCAGTGCCCAAATGGTATACATCTTCTGTTATACCACCTAGAATACTTCACTCTGCTGTGTCCATTGTCCACGTCTGCACCCCCTATTAGACTATACACCCCTCATGACTGGACAGTGTATGATTGATCTTTGTGTCTGGCCCAGAGGAGTTGATTAATAAGTGTGTGGGTGGGCAGATAAGGACCAGTGTGTATCTGGGCTCTGGTAATACAGGGATGAAAGCCCTTGCTCTGCCCTCCAGGAGCTCTCTAGATTATAGAAAATGAATACAAAAGTACATTAAAATGGGATGAGTCGGGCACAGCATGCTGTGTGAGCTCAGCTGAGGGTCACCCAATCCAGTGAGGAACACAGGTGTGTATTCAGGGGCACTTCCTAGAGGAGTCAACACATGATCTGGACCCCAATGGACCAGCACATCTCCTGATAAGCCAAAGCTATAAACCCTCACGATGCCAATGAAGCAGAGTGGCCAATGCTCTGAATTCTTCACTGAGTGGAGGTCACAGCATTTTCTAAGACATGGAGCAGACGCTCCCCCTCTGTCATCTGTCTGTGTTCCATGTCTCACATAGTCCCTCATGAAAATGCCTTCTTTGTGTCCTGTGGCCATTGATCCAAAAGCTTTAGACACTATTTTCTGGAGCTGAGCTGTAGTGTAGACAACTGAGTCCCCCTACACCCCAGCCTCTGCTCCAGGAACCCAAACCCTCAGGGGCCCTATGCAAACATTCTTTGGAAGGTTCATTCCACCAGTTTACCAAAAACACATCCACACTTATGAGTTAGTCTGGGTCAGAACACTTGACTACAAAGTGATTTAGCAAGAGAGAGGTCATGACTGATGTTGACCAACGGAATTTCAGCAGAGAAGTTGAAAAGGAGGTCACATGTCATCGAGATGAGGAGAGAATGGGAGGTGAGGCAAGTACATAACAGCCAGTTTCCTGAAACTTGTCTGATAAGAAAACGGCAGAGACAGGAAAGCAGGGCCAAATGAGATAGACGGTGGTGGTGGTGGTTTTTAACCAGGGAGAGACTTGAACAGTCACAGGCTGAGGAAAAAGACCCAACAGAGGAGGAGAAGTGAACCCCAGGCCCTGAGGAGGGAAAGGCTCTGAGGGAACAGCCAGATACAGGCGTGCTGATGAACCTTGGGCCAGGTGAGCAGGAGGCACAGCTTCGAGGACCCAGAGGAGATCGTGGGCCTCGGGGAGGGATTGGCCACAGGAGTCCAAGCAAAAGGAAGAAAAAAAAAGAAGCGAGATGACAAAGACTCTCTCTTGAGCTTATTCAGGAGGGAAAAGAAGCTAGAGGTTGAGCAGTCACAAGACCTGACCAGCACAAGCACCTCAGGCCTCCTGGCCCCACGCATTCTTTTTGTTGGCAGAGGTCTCACTTAGCAGCTCTCACTCCATGACTTGGAATCTGTTTTTCATTTTACCATTGAACTTTAGTAATACTTAGAGCAGCTTCCGGAAGTCACTTCCCTTCTCTAGAGAAATCACACTGCTTGGACCCAACTCTGACCCAAGCCACAGCTCTCTGATGATCCTCTAGCTTCAGTGTAAAACTCCCTGAGGAAAAGGGTGCTTTACTTTTAAAACCGATGGCTTCTCCCTCATTTGTTTATTTAACTTCCTGAACACAGAGGGAATCAGAACTGACCTAGAACAGACTTCGGTCCGCCTACGAGAGGAGCACCAGATTTTCTGGCAAACCGGAGCCACGCCCTGTCTTGTCCAAAGTGGACAACAGCGACTCGGCCCCAGCTGCTGCCACGAAGGAATACAGGCTGCTTCAGCAGCCTTGCCTTTGCAGAGAAGTTCATGAGCAGACTCTTCAGTGAAATCTCCAGATTTTTAAGTGTTGTAAAATAATTCCAGTAACAAAACCCCTATGCAGGTTAAGTAAAAGGCGCTCAGAGCAACCTCAAGACAAGACGCAAGTTTAGTTTCACCTCCTCTGAAGGGGTTTCAATGTGCTCTATTTCTTACCTGATTCTGTTTGCATGTATGTTTTTTATAACCCTGTCTCCCAGAGGGCAAACAAAGATTTTACTCTAGGAGGTCACTTCCTGCTCAGTGCCCAGTCTGGGGCTGGTATGTGTGTTTTGTGATTTCCTATAGCGTGTTCTGACCCTGTTTTCTGCCAAAGGGCAAGTCCTCCTGAAAGATCTGAAGAAAACAGTGACACCCTGAGCACAGCTGTTGGTGATTAAATGCAAATATGCATTTCTTGGAATCACTAGCTGGTGAGTCACCTTGGAGTGGAGTGACTTTGGGGCTGTCCCTTTAAAAATTGAGCATGTTATCAGGCAAGCTCCTCCTCCAGGGAGGTCCCTTTAAATGAGAGCCAGCTGGCTGGGCCTCCGTTGTTTTACTCTGGAGTGATACTTGCAGTGGAGGATTCCTACCTAGGAGGCAGCAGCCTGTCAGCATGGCTCAGGAGTTTGTGAACAGCAAAATCCATCCTGGGAAGGTGGTGGTGTTCATCAAGCCCACCTGCCCCTACTGCAGACGGACCCAAGAGCTCCTCAGCCAATTCACCTTCAAACAAGGAGCTTTGGAATTTGTCGATATCACAGCCACCTGTGACACAGATGAGATTCAAGATTATTTGCAACAGCTCACTGGAGCCAGAACGGTGAGTCTGGGGTTTGCTTCTAAACGGCCCAGGGAAAGGCTACCCGACTCCTTTTCCTTGTTAGAGCTGTGAAAGCATCGCCTGCGCTTTTCCCTGGGACACTGGTAGGGCTCTGTCACTTAAGGCTCCGAGAGGGCATGTGGGGTGGGGGAGGTCATCTGAGAGAAGACACTCCTCCCTTGAATGGGCAGCTGGACTGCAGCCGAGGGTCTTCTCAGAACCGAGGAGGGGACACAGCTGATTGTGCTAGGCGTCAGGGTCCGTGGGTCTAGCAGCTGTCAGGAGTGGGAGGAGTCAGCTGGAGTCTTTGTTTTAAGCAAGCTGGAAGTGACAGTTTTCAGCCTGCAGAGCCGGGGCTGGAGGGTGGGTGAAGGGGGCCGGTGTGATGTGCGCGTTTCTGTTACCAGCAGGGGAACTGCGCGCACTCCCCTGTTTTCCCCTGGCCACGTGGGACTTGCCGTCCTTCAGTCATTCCTGTAGTCTCTCTTTAACCCTAACCTACTGTGCTCATTCTTCCGAATCTTGCCTAACTCCTCCAATTGGAAAAATCTTATTATAGGTACAGTTAACTGTATCTGGATTCTAGAAAAAATATACTGAAAATTGAAAATTATTAATTATTATTCATATAATTTAAAAAACAGCTTATTATTTGCCCCTTGTTCTAAATTATGGGGCGTTTCTAGGCCTGTCATAGTAGGAAGTCCCGAGGCCAGGGTTCTGGCCTGGCTGTCACCGTGGTTTGCTGTGTGATCCTGGGCAAGTCACCTCCTCTGTGATCCCAAAGGACCTCCTTGGCTGCAAGACTGGACCAGAGTTTCCTTTGCTACGAAGAGACCGTGGGACAGTCGAAGGACTGCTGTCCTCTTTTTGAAAAGACTTCTTCAGCACCCATGGCTTCCTGTGGGATGCCCAGCCACCCACATTGCCTGTATCAGTTTTGGTGCTGGCTGGGGTAACTGGTGTCCTACCAGCTCACCCAAGTTCTCTTTTAAGACGCACATATCCTAGTTCAGTATTAGTTTGGCTTACAGGGTACTCTCTGGGTTCTTGGTTTGAAAGCACAGGAGGCTTTCTCCTCACATCTCCAGTGAGAGATCAACACTCTGGTGCAGAGGGAGGCTACCCACGTGACCCTGTTGCTTCCAGGACTTCAGCTGTGCGCAGAGGACTGACTCTTGTCTTTGGGAGGTCCTGGAGCAGAGTACTCAAGGTGAAAGACAAAGAAAGACACGCCTGCCTCTTAGTTGGACGACCAGCTAAGCCCTGGGAGAGAAAGGGCCATGCAACTATTCCCACGGCCCCCACTGTGATGGGTCCCTCTTGGCCAGTGGTTCCCAAATGATGCTGTGCATTAAAATCACTTGAGGAGCTTCGAAGAAAGAAAAGTGCTGATGCCCGAGCCATCCCCCATCCCAATGTAATCACCGTGTCGGAGGAGGGAACCAGGCCCCAGTAATTTCAAAGATCCCTCCAAGGTCAAAGGGTGCAAACTTTCAGTCATGAGTAAGGCCTAGGGATCTAGTGTACAGCATGGAGACTATAGTTAACAACACTGTATTGTATGCTTGGAATTTGCAAAGAGAGGGTGTTCTCACTGCACACACTAGGAATGATAACCACGCGAGGGATGCATGTGTTAAGTCAATTGTGGTGATCAGTTGACAATTTATACCAAACCTTAACATTTTATGCCTTAATATATACAAGTTTATTTGTCAATTATACTTCAGTAAAGCTGGGGAAAAAGAGTTTATTTTCTATCCAGAAAAAGTTCCCCAGGTAATTCCAATTTGCAACAAGTTTTGGGAGCTACAGCCTTCAGCTGGGCACTGTCTATTCTCTAGCAGGAAAAACAAACCCCTTTGTGCATTTGTTCAATAATCTTTTTTTTTTTCATTTATTTGTAATGCAGTGATTTTTCTTCTAGTGGTCTTTTAAGTTTGTTTTTAAATTAAAAAAAAATATTTTTTTCACAGCTTGCTCCAAGGGGAAGAACAAATCCTTTAGAGCTGTATGCTTTATGGTCCCCAACAGTGATACATTTATATTGGAAGAGATCGAACACTTGGAAGCACTTGCCGCCTTATCCTGTAATAACACATGGTGCTGTGTGTATAGTAACCGCCCAGCAGGGTTTGATTGATTATAGATACCTATGCCTTCAATCAGGCCCTATACCTGGAGAAACGTGTTTTGGTTTTGCTGTGGCCACCTCTCCTGGATCAGGCCCTTCATTTATTCCTTCTCTAAAACACTTTTTTTCAGGTAGATTCGAGTTTCTGACCTCTATTATTTTTCTTCTCTCTGAATAACTTCTTCAAACATTTCTTGCAAGGCAGGTCTAATGGCAACGAATTCCCTCAATTTTGTGTGTGTGTGTGTGTGAGAGAGAGAGAGAGAGAGAGTATTTCTTCACTTTTGAAGGATAATTTTACTGGATACAACAAATATTTTTAAAGCACCTAATACATAGTAGGCACTTTTCCAGCCATTGAAACTACCTCCATGAACAGAACAAACAAAAACTGCCTTTGTAGAACTTGCATTCTAGTAAATCCACTAAACAGTATGTCGGAAGGTGATGAGTAATATGTGCTATGGAGAAAACTAAGTAGGAAAGGGAGGTAGGCAGCAAGCAGCAAGGTACAGTTTTAAATGGAGCCATTGGGGCCTCATTGATTTGACTAGTCTCTCAAGGAGGTGAGGGAGCCAGGCTTGCAGAAACATAGGCGTAAGGGTGTTTCAGACACAAGGAATAGCAAGTGCAAAGGTCTTAGCTAGGCCAGAAATGGAGCCCTGTGTGCCTGGAGCATTGGAAGCCAGTAAGACAGCAGGCCGAGCTGAGGTCTGGGAGATCTTAGGGCATAGGCTGGGAGGCCCCTCAAGTTACCATAAGGACTGTGGCTGGCGATGTGCCACACGCAGAGCAGGGAGCTGGTCTGCCTTAGTTTAAAAAGCATCACTCTGGAGGCTGTGGGGAGGAGACTGGAGGAGGGCCAGGTTGAAGACTGAAACTGAGAGACATCTGGAGACCACAGCTTCAGATGAGGAATGATGGTGGCTTGTTCCAGGCCACGGCGGGGGTGAGGAGCGTTGGGAAGCAGCTTTGAGTAGCTGCTGCATCCGAGCAACCTTAGAGCACACATGATGCACCTATCTGAGGCTGGGGACTGGGGAAACTCACTCCAGCAGAGTGAGGGCACCCGTAGTACCGAGCTTGTTTGTGGTGGGAGTTCTCTTTCAGCTCCTTGTCAGTAGCAACCTCTGAAGTTCATCAGCAAAGGGGGATGGGGCCAGGAGGGGCGGACACTGAAGGTGCAAGTCCTCTTCCTCAACTGAATCAAGTTTTCTGTTTGCTACCACAACCACCGCGCCGCTGCGCCCCCCCGCCACCCCCGCCCCCCCCCCCCCCGTCCTCGCCCAGTGTCTGGTGCAACCTGTAATTCAGCTCCTTTTGGAGCTGCCTGTAACTGGCAGCTTTGAGGTGGTTTGGGGCTGCAGGGACTCGAGGGCGGGTGTAAGCTCAGAGAGGCCTTTCAGCTCCCTGCAAACTGCTTCCTGCCAGATGGTGGACACAAGATTCTGCCCTGGAGAGAGCCCGATTGTCTTTCAGAGCCTGTTTCAGGCACCTGGGGGCTACTGTAGGCTGTGGTTGTTAAAGTTAAAGCCTCAGTCACCCTGGGAGGAGTGAATGGCTGCTCAATGTCACCCAGGCATTTACAAACATGACCCCTGCAACAGCAGCATCACGCATCACCTGGGAACTTCTCAAAAATGCAAATTCTTGGGCCCCAACCTAGACCTCCTATGTCAGAAATTTGTGGGGAGTGGGGGCAAGGAGGAAATCTGTGTTTTAACAAGCCCTTTGGCGGTCCTGGTGCAGGTTCCACAGTCTAAAAAGAGGACTCCTGGTTTCTCAGGGCATTCTGTCCTGGTGACTAAGGAGCACCCTCTTGGCCAACGCCCTCGTTGAAGGTGGTGCTGTGGCAAGAGGCAAGCTGTAGGAGTGATGACAATTGCTCAATTCTTTTCGATAACGTAGAGATTCTAGAATGATTACATTTCTTCCTTATACAACATAAAAATAGTATGATGTAAAAGTCAGGTGATTTTGATTTCATTAGGCACTGCCTTCCATAGGCATTCTGCAATATAATTACATCAGAACTCCATTAGCAAAGCATTCCTGGGGAGACAGAAGACAAAAGACCCCAACAGTCTGTGGGGGAAGCTTTGTGTTCTCTAAAGTAATGGCCAGGACCGAGGGGAAAACTTAGGTTTCTGACCCCAGCTTTCTCAGGCTATTCTTTCAGCCTCACGAAAGCCCTGGGCCCTTTGCGAAGGTCCCCACAGGCCTGTGGTGCCCGCGGGGCAGGCAGCTCCTTCTGTGACTCGAGAAGACGTTATTGGGCTTTCTGTCTGCAACACAGTCCTGAGGCTCTTTTCCTCTCCAGCGGCACACTTTTATGCTAAGACAAAGTTTTGACCTGTAAGAATATATATACATGAGGAGATTGTAAAGTGACTGGAAAAGCTTGGATCATGGGAAGTATTTAGAGGAAGGATAAAATGTCATTCTAAGTTAATAATTTAGTTCCTTAGATGTCCTGGCTTGTTTGCTTTTTTTAGGTACCTCGAGTCTTTATCGGTAAAGAGTGTATAGGTGGATGCACTGATCTAACAAGTATGTATCAACGTGGGGAACTGGTGACGCAGCTAAAGCAGATTGGAGCTCTACAGTAATTGCAGGTGAGTGACAGGTGGGGCGCTGGGCCAGGCGCCCGGGGAGGGCCGGGAGACTGTGGCTGCTATAGCCATGTTCTGTCATAACCTAGGAAGGCCCTCTGACTAGGACAAGAACGGTTTGGTGGATCTGAGGAACTGTAATGTCATTTATGAACTCCCCTTTTTATAGAGGGATTAATCATGTCAATGGGAGAGAGCCTTTCACTTCACCTTCATTTCACAAATGTTTATTGAGCATTCACTATATGCCAGACACTGTATGAGGCACTGGGACTATAGTGATGGGGAAAAAAAAAAAAAAAAGATAACATGAAATTTATATTCTAGAGAGGTGGACAGATGAAAAGTAAGCAAATAATTCCTGAAACAAACGAACAGACTAACGCGGTAGAACACAGCAGGGGGTGGGGAGCAGAGTCCACTAAGGTGTGAGGGGAGGTCTTTCTCAGAGGGGCTAGTTGAGCTAAAGATCTTGTGACAGTCAAGTAAAGATGAAGCAGAAGAGCTTTTCAGACAGAGGAAATAGCAAGTGCAAAGGCCTTGAGGTAACTAGTACAGAAAATTCAAGAATCAGACACAAGGGAATGCAGTCTGAGTGAAGTGCAGTGAGAGGGAGGAGGAGGGACAAATGTGGACGGGGCCAGAGCTCACGAGCCGTGGTCGGCAATTCAGATAAGAAGTGCAGTGTGGGATCAAGGTGAGTCTGCTTCACCTGTGTTCATACTGCAACTCAATTTCAATCATCTAATGGAGTTCTCAAACTTCAAAACAGAGTTTTCTAAAATTGTAACCCAATGGATATCCTTGACTGAACGGGAAACCAGAGGGTGATGAACTCTTTAGAAAGGAACCAGGATACTTTTGGGGTCTGATAAGTTCCCCTCACCCCCAGCTCTTCTTGTGCTATCTTGCTTCTAACGAGGCCAATTTCTCAGATTCATGCACAGAGAGAGTCCGTGGTTGTTTTTTAGTCAAAATAGACATTTTTGGTTCTTAAACCCAAATGTTCTTGAGGGGTATTTGTTGCCCACTAATTAATAACTTACCCTTGAGCAATGAGTGTATCTAATTTGCAGTGGTTACTTAGGATAGCAACAGAAGTAAAAAAAAAAAAAAAAAAAAAAAAAAAAAACCCTGAAAAAATACAACTGAATCCTTTGAAATAAAAATATTAAAAACCTTCTAATCACAATTCTATAACATCATCACAGCAGGTGAACACTACGTTTGTGTTAGCTTTCTAGTACCACATGAGTAATCACTCAAAACTCAATTATGGTGCCAAATGTTTTCTGTTCTAGAACACTTTAAAAAAAAAAACAAAACCCAGCTTAGGCTTCAATTAAAAATGGAAGAAAACTAATGACTTTCCTGGGAATACGGGCAATATCATTTCCCCAGTTATTAGAGTCCCCATATTCACAAGGCCTCTTTATTTGCATTGTCCTTCAGCATTATAGGCTCTCAGTATTTTGCTGACAACTTCTTCTCAAGGCCATCTGTAACAGATTATATCTAAATAACAAGAATAAGTGTTCTGGTGATGAAAAGAAAGTGAGAAGAATTCAGCTTTCCAAGGAAATGCAGCTTTTTATACTTTTCTTGGCAGGGCGGAACCCGGGCTGACATGTCCCTCGAGAGCTGACGGCCTCATGAATGATGGCAACGCTTCCTCCCGACTGGGATCTGGGGCTCCCTTCACAAAGCTACAGCAGCTGTTTACTTAAAATTCTGAAATGTCTAAACCAAAAAAAAGTGGCAGGGGGCGGTTCTTCGCAAAAACAGGCTTTGCTTCTATTGATTTAGTATTAAAAGGGGATCCACTTACCACAAACCATTGGTCTGGGAAGGTTAAAAGACATCTTCGATTTCTTCTAGATTGGCCCCTGGGTTCCAAAGGACCATGAGCAGTTATAGCTTAGGATTCCCTCACTGACCCCCCAAAAGTTCTTTCTTTTTTGCAAGTGGCTCTTCCTAACTATTCTTCACCTGTCAGGACTCTACCTCTAAGCCAGGGTTTCTCAACCAAGTTTATCCCAGGCCACTAGAGTGAATCTACAAGGTAATTGTATGCTACCACTCCCAAAATTATTTTGAGTTTAACTTGATAGAGTTTGTACTATGAAATCAAATAGGTATTTTTAATGTGTTTTTTAAAACTATATGTTCTTCCCTGTCACCGCCCATCCTGCCTTGAGAATACTGCTCTGAACTAGTGTTCTGAACCTTGACAACACACACAGCTCTCAGGAAATGCTCAGCAATTCTGTGAAGGGCTGAGGATCCAATCTGAGAAATGACACATGAAGAGTTAAGCACAGTGGGTCTTCACTTGGTGCTACAGGGATCAGAGCTACATGTGCAGATGCTGTGATTATGTGGCAACACTGTTATGTAAGATGATTGTCCCGGTACTCCTGAACAAGTGTGTATTAAATTGTTTATACATTACGAACAAAAGTAAAACATATATTCAAAACATTATCATATAAAACTTGCAAACCTGTTCCCAAAGAACATGTCTGTGAAGGTAGCAGAATTTGGGAAATACTGTCCTAAATGATTTTCTCTCTTTTTCATTCCCCACTCTATGAAAACTTAAGAATCCCTCATTGAGATGTGTGTTCTAGAATCACAAGATTAATTTCCTTTTGCAGTCTCTACTATGAAAGGTTAATTTCTGTGTAATAAAATAGTCATAAATGACAGTGATTTTCTTTTTTGTCCAATTCTTTACTATGTTCTCAAGACCTTAAGGGATGATATTGATGTGAGATACATCAGTTTGAAGTTTTATTCATGTTTGTCCCCTGCCATTATAAATAAAGGCATACACTATTGTCCTTCATTGAGTACAAATGGTTGATGTGATTTTTTTAAAATTTCATATTGAAATGACAAATAATTTGAATGTAATATGTCAACACTACGCTACTGAATAATGTTTAAAGTTTAATAAGTGTTTTTTTTTCATGGTTGCATTCCATTTTTCCAGTTCTCACCTCATACCCTTGGACTTTTGGCTTCTCTCTCTTCTCTTGTGGGCCCAGGCCACTCCCTGCAACCAGGCTGGTGGACTGGGCATACTTTTCAGGTTATACACTGGGCAACACTGTGAATGCCCCCTGTCGCTGCTGTGCCGTGTGCAACCCGCTCGGTCCCTGATCCACTCCAGACCTCTCACCTGCACTTTCTTCCACGCTTCTCTGTCGTTGCTCATTGTCTGTCTTCTGCTTTGCTCTGCTTTCAAATTCCTCCTTCACAGCCTGATTTACAGACTATTTACGCTGTACCTATCTTCTCTTCTCACTTCTTATTGACTAAAAAAGCCATTGCTCCCTCTTCTGCCATCCTAAAGCATTCTGCATTTGAACACTTTCCAGCTGTAGTTAATCATCTGTACCGGTCTCTTGCCAGATTCCAAAACACCACTCTCAAAGGCAAGTGCCTGGATTTTAACATCTTTGTATGCCCAGTTCCTAGCACGGAACTTCGATTTTTTTCAAAGCAATACCTGCATGCAGGTTAACATGTCAAACTATACCAAATGTCTTTCCTCTTCCACCCCTCCCAAACCCCAGTCCTTACTACTTATTTATCAGTTTCATGGATATTTAAGCCTATTTAAAAGTATTGTAAAATGTGTTAAGCACATATAAGGTAAGCAGGTACATATAAGATAAGGTAAACACATATAAGGTAAGAGTTCTATTTAAATTAATACCTGGATATATACCTTCTAGGTTAATAAATAAAGCAACTATGTAACTGTTTCTAAAGCACTGATCAACGACCTCAGAGGCCCATGCACCCTTCCCCATTGAATCCTTTCCTCCCTCCCACAAATTAATCTAGCTCATATCTGTTGTAATCATTCTGATACTTCTCTTCATAGTTTTACTCCCTACAATACCCCTAAAGCAATACATAAGCAATACATATCGGAAAAGCAATGCCAAACACCAACCCAGCTGTGTAAGAAAAGGGCAACACTATGACCATCAGAGGAACGGCCCCAGGAGATGAGCGGAGCGGAGGCTCAGCTTCCCGGGGATTTGAACAGAGGGGTGGTCCTCAGTGAGCCCTGGAAACACCGGCCCCCCATAGTTGGGGAGGCTATTGTGCGGACTGCTCATGGGCAGCCCCCAGAAATAAGGTCGACGAAAGTGGGCTGCTCTGCATTTTCGCTTCGTTGGCCCACCCCCGGCAGCTTTCCGGAGCAGGTCACAGCACACACCACTTCTGCCGGGGGGGGCGGGGGGCGCTCCACGCCCCCTCGGCTGGCTAGCGCTTGTGGTGTGGAGCACGGAAACGCCGTCAGCACAAGACAAGCAAAGGGCAGGTAAGGGTCTGCTTCAGGCTCATTTGGCCATTCTGTCCTCCAGTTTTAAAAAAGGAAACGTGAGAGGAGAGCCCCCGGCGTGGAGGATGACCCTGCTCCAGTCTGTCCTGGGTGCTCTCTGTGCGGGCCCCTCTCTTCCTGGGACTTAACTCCCTTCACGGTCTTCCTAGGGACTCCGTTTCCCTCTCTCCCGAGTCCAATCTTCTGTTTCCCATACCCCATATATATTTATTACAGCTAAAACATAAAATTATGCTAGAAGCTTATTTCTCATAGCTGTCCAGGGGCAGGCAGGTGGCTTTGATCCACGACGTCGCCATCAACCCAGGGGCTGTGTGCACCGCTTGCTCTCCGGGGCCCCCCCCTGCCTCGCCCCCGCCCGCTGCCCGGCCTGGGCCATCGCGGGGCTGCAGGGGAGGCGGGGCTGCAGGGTCCCTGCTGGGAGCCCCTGTCTGGCTAACAGGGTTACACACAGGCAGGTCTACACCGAGAGATTGGGGGAAAACTAGCAGATCGTGTCTTTCTCGTTCTCAGTCTTTTTCATTTCAGAGGACCATATATCCACCACAGGTTTTAAGAAAGAGAATGGGAAGTAAACGTTTTTGAAACCTTGCTTGTCTGACAATATTGTTATTTTGTCCTCATATTTGACGACTGGATATAGCTCCTAGTTGGAAACTATTTTCCTCCAGAAGTCTGAAGACACTGCTCACTGCTTTTTGCTTTTGGCGTTGCTGTTAAGAAGTCTGAAGCCATTCTGATTCTTGATCCTTTGTGGATGACCTATTTGGTTATCTTGTTTATTTTGTTTTATACTCTGGAAGCTTACAAAATCTTCCCTTTGAGCCCTGTGCTCTGAAATATCTCAGTGATGGGCCTCCGTCTGGGTCTGTTTTCATATATTATGGGGCTACTTGGAGGGCTGGAGGGCCTATTGGAAACTTTATTGATTTATTTTATGGACACTTTCCTCCCCTCCACTTTCTGTGTGTGCTCTTTCTGGAACTCCTAGTAATTAGATACTGGCTTTCCTGGATTTCTCCTTTAACTTTTGTTATATACTTTCCTATTTTCTATCACATTTTTTTTTCCCATTGAGCGATTTACTCTTTACCTTCTTATTTTTCTATTGATTTTTTAATTTCTGGTATCATGCTTGTAATATCCAATAGCTCTTCAATATTATCTGAATGTTCCTTTTTTATACAATTGTTTGTTTCATAAGTGCAGTTTCTTATCTCTCTGATGTTATTTTGATCTTTTTCCTTCCAATTATAATTTTTTTTTCTTATTTTCAAGGGTTCTCTTGTTCTCAATTGTTTCCTTTTTTCTTGTTCTTTTTTTGTGGGTGCAATCACTTCTTTTCTCTCTCAAAAGATATTAATTGCAGTTGAGGCTGTCTTTGGATGCCTGTGTTCTCTCTTTCCTCTTCGAGTCCCTATTTTCTGTTTCTGCTTTTTATGTTTAATGGCCTCCCAGTGTTCTGCACTGAGCATTTGAGATTTGGTTGTCTGTAAATAGTTAAGAATGACACACCAAAAACTAGTTGGGAGATCTATGTGTGTAGATTGGGCTTTACCACAGAGGTTTTGTGGTAATGTTACCTCTAAGCAAGGCCTTCCACATCACCCTATTTAAAAATCTCACTGGCTCAGGCTGGCATGGCTCAGTGGATTGAGTGCTGGCCTGTGAACCAAAGAGTCACTGGTTTGATTCCCCGTCAGGGCACATGCCTGGGTTGCAGGCCAGGTCCCCAGTAGGTGTGTGAGAGGCAACCACATATTGCTGTTTCTTTCCCTCTCCTTCTACCTCTCTTCCCTTCTCTCTAAAAATAAATAAATAAGAATTAAAAAAAAATAAACTGTGGAATACATACCTTAAAAATAAATAAATAAATAGAAATATCACTGGAATTCCCCATGCTTCTTCCTTTATTTTTTTTCTAGTTTATTTATTGCCTAATACATTGGGTACTTTACTTATTTTGTTTACTGTGTGTCTTCACCACTCAAATGTAAACCCCTTGAGGCCAGGAATTTGTGTCTTTTTACTGCTGTGTCTGCAGCATTGAGAAGACTATCTGCACGTAGTAGGTGCTTGATAATTATCTGCTAGGTATTTGAATGAATGGATAATATGAATGAATGATCAGGTGCAGATGCCCCAAGTGTTACTTCCTGGAAGTTTTTCTTCTGAGCCGTTCAGTTTTTTCCGTTCCTTGGCTTCGGGTGGAGGCTGGGTCTCACCTCCGATTTTGGCTGCCAAGCGGGGGAAAGGGACTTGGCAGCCTCCAGCCAGCGTGCAGACTCTCCCGTCATCTCCTGCTTTCTGCTGGCTTCTTGCAGAGTAATTCTGTGTGAAATGCAGGGATAGACAAGACCATAATCCAAAGAGCACTGAGAGGTTGGCACGAGACATTGACAGGGAAAAGCAACAAGAATAACCAGGCAAAAAATGCAGAGCCAAAACTTCACTCCTTCTGTTCACTTTAAAAAGCTAGTGATTCAGTCCCCCATGCATGTCTCATTTGAGTAACTGCCTTTGGTCTGCGGCTCCCTGAATGGGACAACTGGCAGTCATTCTGCCCAATTCAAGGCTGCCCAAAGATGGCCCTGAAGGGGAAACAACAGCCGTGGGTGATGAATGGGCCTGTGTGGTTGAGACGACACTATTCATATCCCCAGTGAGGATTTTTAGGCCATTATCTTGACATTTGGACGTAAGAGAAAGCCATGCTCCCTAATTCACTGCACCATAACAATTATTAGTGGTCCTGGAACTATGTTAAAGAACTGGACTCCTGAAACATTTTAAATGTAATTCCTTTCTTAAGCGATATTTGCTTATTAAACACATTGAACATTTGAAGGGGCAGAATTTAATCTTACTAATTAGTGAAAAAGAATTCTGACATAGTCCCTTTAAGCACAAGTGATATTTAAACATGGGTCTATATGTACAAAGAGATTTCTATATCCCTGTCCCCAAGTGACTTTCCTGGCAAGCTGTGCAGAGCTGAAGACAGAATAAAGGGTATTAGGAGAGCCAATGAAAGCGCAGAGCTTGCGTAACCTCTCTGGGGTGCACCTAGTATACCCGGGGTTCTGTTCCCAGTGGGCTCTCCCTCCAAGTCAGCAGGGCTGGAGCCTCTGGGCAGCACCTACAGCTGAGCTTTCTCAGGGGACAGCAGAGCAACTGCCTTCTCACTTTTGTGTGCTTGTGAAACTTGCAACACTTCATACATAAAATTGCAAGTTGTTTTTAAGGTAGGGATTTTGCACTGTCCCTATTAATCTTCCAAGGCACCCTGAGGAATGGGTATGGAGGCTCTTTAACACAACCTGCCTGGGGTTCTAACTAGAGGTGTCAAATGGGGACCAGAGGATCCCCTCTGGGAATGGAGGACCAATTACTCCCGGGAATGTCAAATTAGAGGACTCAGCTCGAAGTTGCTCTACAAAAAATAAAGTCTGTTAAACAAAACAAAACTTATGCTCTTGGCCTCAACAAACCCCAC